ACAGGGTTTCTGTTTTGGTTTTGTGGAATTTGAAATGGCAAGTTCCATGCAAAGTGCTATAGAGGTATTTATCATTTTTTTATGCTGATCTTTTCGTTATTTTTGTCATAATGCATTTTGTTATGTACTTAGAGACCTGTTGGCACTAGGTTGCAACAAGGTATGCAATTCTTAACTTGCCTTTGCCCAGGCAGACAATAAATTTATGATTCTGTTATTTTGTTGGAAATGCTGTTTTCTTTTAGGTGTTATTAGAAATGAGGAAAAGGTGTCGGGTCTATAATGTCTATAGATGAATATGGCGTAGACTCATAGTTGTGTAGTGCAAGGGTGATCCATGCCTTCATATCATATGTATAACACTAGAAGCTTGGATGTGGATTACCTCAGATAAGTTAAAGAAACATAAAGATTTGGTAGTGGAACTCGCTTGCAGAGACCAGATAAGGGATCCTAAAGCTTATTAGTTCCTTCTGGTTTGGTGGTGAAAAAACAGTACTTGTATTTTACCATTTCTCAAGTTGTAAGATTTAAAATAAATTTCTTTTAATAACTATGAAAAATAATTTAAAGAATGACAAAAGCTTCATGGAACATTGGTGATACAGATGTTGTTAATGGTGCTAAGATCTTCATATTGCCCGAGGCACAAAGCACAAAAAGGTACTTGCCCAAGTAAAACGAGGTGTTTGAAGACACACACATATATACACAAGTAACCTATATTAAAAATTATAGAGTATATTTAAATAATAAATCATGTTTATTAACCTCTTTAAATTTGGCCTGCCTGAGTGTAGATGAGGTGCTAAATTTATTTTTGTTTTGCCTATCTGTACCTAAGTGCTCGCCTTGACAACCTTGGGTGATGCCTGTAGAGTTTAGCCTAAATTATTTTTTGCTGTCAATATGGAGTTGCATTTCAAACGTTAGGCTCACATTCTTGCATTAAAAAAACAGAATTTTTTGTCGTTGGGTTTGATCATTCTTTTTCTTTAAAGCCTGTTTATCCCGTTGATGGTTTCAAGTTTATCTAAATCCCTGATTTAACTTTTGATGTTCTTCTCCAATAGCAAAGTGGGGCTTATCAAAGGGAGTGGTTTATTGTTACTTTTTTCTTTCTTTTTTGGTGAAATACGTTTACATATTTATTTTTTTCTTCAAACTTCTTTCAGGCTTCTCCTATTAATATTGGTGGGCGTAAAGCAGTTGTTGAAGAAAAACGATCTACTTCTCGAGGCAAGTTACTTTTGTTTTTAACTAAAGTTTATACTAAAGTGATCTGCATGATTCAGTGGAAATGACCAGAGTAGTAGGTTTCTAACATGGTAAGCCATTTCGTGATTATTAGAGTAATTAGAATTGAGATCTGCTCATCTCTGATAATGTAGATTCTTAGGTTAATGTTGGGACATTGTTTATATCACACAACTTTATGAAATCTGCTGTTATTGGCATGAGACCAATGTGTCCTTGTCCGGATGAAAAATGGTACTTTACTGAGAAGATTTTGCAACATGGACTTCAAAATTTTTGTCGACATTTTTGCATCTTGTAATATGATTGTTTTTCATATGCAGGTAACAGAGGTCGGTCTTCATCTGGATCTGGGGTTGGATACAGAAATGAGGGAGCAAGAGGGCGTGGAAACTACACTGGTGGTAGGGGCTATGGCCGGGGAGAGTTTGTTAACAAGATCAATAATCGAGGAGGATATTTCAACCGGGGAGGTGATGGATATCAGAGGGGTGAGCACATGGGAAATAGTAATGGTGGCCGTGTGAGTCGCTCTGGTGGGCTAGCCAAGAATGTAGCACCAACTCTATCTTCCCCTGCTTGAAGAAATTAATTTAGGAGTTGTCCGAAGAATGGCCAGAGATTTTAACTTTGGATTTACAGTGTAGTTAGCAGAAAGAACTCAATTTTCTTTGCGATGAGACTTGTCTCAGAGGGTTTATAAAAAGTGAGGGGTTTTGGGTGGTCGTGCATGGTTAGAATATCTTGTTAACTGAGTTACTGTTATTGTTCAGGCACGTTTGCCTTCGTTGCCTCATGGACAAGATGCATCTGCAACAGAATTTTGTTGATGGAATTTCATTAAACAACTCATTTTAGTCATCATTATGAAATTAATTATGAGAAAATTGTGTCCTTTTTCCCCTCTTAACCTTTGTGGCTACTATTCTTCGAATAATCTCAATCCATGTCATCCTTTTTTCCCATGCCTGCGTGTAACCGTGTGCAACCATCCAATCCTTATATGTACACTACCTCTGTAGATATTGTAGGACATTATCTTGACCCTCTCTAAAATTAAAATCGTAGAAAATAATTTATATTTTATATATGACGAGATAAATTGAAATGGAACGATATCTACGTATTTCAACGGTTTACTTTACAATCGACTAGTCATTTGATTGTAGCCGTCAATGCATTATGCCACGTGCCTGTCATCAGACAGGAGCCCATCACCTTTCAACTTTTTGACAACCAACCAGTAAAAGTCAAAACCATCAAGCGACTGGGCTACGTGTCGTTCCGCACAGTTAAACAAATAAAACGACACGTGTGAGCTGAGTTGCACGTGTTTCGTACGGCAGAGTTGTTTAATAATCTCATTGGAGGATCGAAGTTTTGACTGTGTTTTAATTTCCTCCACTTTAAATAAAATACTATAATTGTCACGTATAATTCTATTTATAGCAATCGCTCGAGTATTCCTTCGCTTTCGTTATTGATTTGTTAATTATCAGATTTGTTTTCCATGAATTTTAATTAATTAATATTTTTTTAATAAAAAATACGTTCTGTTTATGACTAAGTCATCAACTTTTTTGGGAGTCAAGTGTAAAATTATAAAAATTTAAAGGGTTAAAATATATTTTTGTTTTTTTTAATTGAATTCCACTTGATCAATTATTCTTCAAGTAGGATAGGAGGGCTCCGAAAATGACAATTTGTAATAAGCTTTAATTGGTTATCCTAAGGAGTAAATTAATCCAACTTTTAAATCCCTTGAACTTAAAAGAGATTAATAACTAAACCTCGGAAGGTCAATGAAAAATTTATTTTTTGTTATGTTACATTGCAGAGTTTGCATCTAAAAATGGATTTTTAATATTAGTAATCTATATGATTAATGCCAAATGAAATTAATAAAGTTAAAATTGTTTTTAAAATTTCACGTTTCATATGATTAAGTCTTTTAAGGAAGAAAATTACTTGAAAAGAAACAGTGACACATGCTCTAAATTTTCTTAGCTTAAAAATATTATAAAACTTGAGAAAAAAGTGTCTTGATATTAAAATTTACGAGTTTAAATTTAATTTAAAATATAATTATGTAATATAATTTTATTCAGAAATATCTTATCTTCTTATATTATAATATAATCTAATTCTCACTTTATTAACTTTTAGTGGTTGAAAGAATAGATGGTTGTTATCTTTAGAGGTCTTAAGTTCGAGTACCATGACTACAAGATATTTGAATGTTTATTGTCAAATGATTGAGACTCTCTAAATTGATAAACAAATTAATAAATAAATAGCAGGGACAAATCTAGATAATAAAGAAGGGGAAATGTTTATAGGGAAATACTTATTTGCCATTGGGCATTGGCAGGCCGCCCACCTATCAGCTTATCGTCGGTGCCCTTCGATCATTACCAACCCTATTTAATTATTCCTCTATTCCACTATTACCCTCCCCTTTTATTTGTTGTCCTCTTGGACTTCATCTTGATTAATTTGAACAACTTCACGTCAAACACTTAATTTTAGTGGCCGAATGTTCCAGCAGAAACTATTTATATATATAATAACTCAAATATAAAACTTTACTTAAATAATATACAAACTATTTATTACTTAAATCAACCCGTTTTTGCTTACCTTTTCTATTTAACTGCCACGCTGGCCACCTGGGCTTCTAGATTACTGCCACGTCAAATATGAACTTAATTTAGTTTTTACTTTTGGATGTACTTAATTACCTTTGATTAATGGTATTCATATATTTAACAAATAAAATTAATTGTCGTTTGATTAAGCTTTTATCTTGATGAAAAACTATATATCTTTTGAAAAGAGATACACAGGAGAATTTATCTCATACATTGTGGAGGTAGTTATCAGAAGAAAAAAAATGGAGAGTAGTTTAATAAAGTGTAAAATTTTAAAATAAAATAGTTATATTTTATTAATTAAATTTGTGTAATTTAAATTCGTAATAATTTATCGAGTGAAATACTCATTCACTACGAAACGTACCGTACCAACTAACAATTAAGCAAATGTTTTCCTAATTTTTTATTAAAATACAATTGATTTAAGGGTGTATGAAGTTGCACGAACCAACCCCAATGGCTAAAAGAATTGTTGTTGTTTATAGAGATCACGAATTCGAGCACTGGTGATTGTAGCATAATGATTGAGTATTTATTGTTAATTTTTTTAAAAGTTAAGTTTTTATTTTTTACTTAATAAAATTTTTATATTTTAAAATTTAATCATTTCACCTATTTGATTGATATTTATTGTTAAATTTAATAATTTCAGCTTAGTTGATTTCACGTCTCATATCATAATATTATCGATCGACATTTTAGAAATTTATTATTTTTAAATCTTTATTTTTAAAAAATATATACATTTAAATTTATGTGCTCGTCATGTGTCACATAACGATAATATCTTGTAACAAAATTATTAAAATTTAACAATTATAATTAATCAAGAATTTCAATTGATTCAATAAAATATTATTTATATTGTAATTTCTGTACCCCAAATAAAAATCTAATTAAAAAAATCAAAGTTAATCCGTATAAAAAAAAAAGGAAGGCAAGCGCAGGTAAAGAAACCTAAGAGAGATGGCATTTAGAAAAAAGGAAAGGGGTAAAACGGGAATCACAAGTTACACAAAACACAATCATACGTTCCCCCTTTCTCCAAGTTCTCTCCATATTAATTCAACATTCTCTCTTTTTCCACAAAGACTTGGCCTTTGGCTTGGCTGTTCGTTTTGTTTGATTACTTTTTTTTGGCCCCCTACACCATTAGCAGCTTCACGACCCTTTGATAAAAATGGGTTTTCACGAAAAAAACTCGGGGGAAAAATTAACATAAAAACGAACAACAAAAGGTGGTAGATGCATGCGCCACCACCACAATACCAACTTCTTAAATTCACTCTCTCTCTACTTCTTTCACAATCTTCCTTCATTCTTGTGTACACAACAAACAATCATCAGATTTCTTTTGCCAGATTTTGGTTTTAATCCTTAAAAAAGAAACCTTCTTTCCCCCCTCGGTTTCTACGCTGTCTCAACCACCACCTTTGCTTTTCCCTTTCTCAGGTACCAAACAATTGATGAAAACGACGACTTTTCTTTCGTTTTATTTGTTTATTTATCTTCTTCTCTGTAATGGGTTGTTTTTGCTTTTCCTGGTCATGGAGCCATGGCCCTTTTTTCGCTTTGATTGGCTTAAAGAAGGCTTTGGCTTTGTGGATTTCTTTTTCTCCTTGTTTTTTCCGTGTGTTTTGGGGGTTGGGTTTTTTGTTCTCTTGTGTTTATTACTGCCTTCGCTTCCATGAAAGGTGATAGGTTGGCGGGGTTGACTTGTTTTCCAGGGGGAGATTATTGGGATTTTCGTTAGGCAGACTCATTGGACAGCTTTGTTAGCTTCGCATATGGGAGTTTTGGCTTTACTATATGCAAATTATGATGAATTTCTCTCTCTTTTTTTAATGAAAACAAAAACTATGGTTGAGCTTCGTGTCATCTTGCTCCCGTATCCGGAGCCTGTTTAACTTTTAGAAGTGAATACCATTTCAACAGGGATTGAGGATTGACTGAAAACGTTTCATGGGATTTGCGTTGGTTTGTTCATATTATTATTTTTTCTCTAATTTCATTTATGAATGATTTCTGTTTTACCAGCATCAAGTCGACTGTTTTCCAATCCGTGCATGGGCTTTAGATTTAACCTCTTTGCTTCTCTATGTAGCATTATTGAAATAGAAATCAAACGTACGTGTTATGAGAAAATAGTTGGTTTTCAGCCTACCGAATAGAAGTATATATGGTTGATATTAGTATCTGATAACAAAAAAAATTGATTAACATCTGGGAGTTTTCACAAGGCAATTCCATTTTTCCCTTGAATTTCTTGTTTAATTACTTAGGAGCATCATCAAGTTACTTGCATTGACCCATAGTTTTGATGACCTTCCTTGTATCTATTGTCCTTTTTCTCATTTTTGCTTTATAGCTAAGTAGAAGAGGTGATGTCTTAGTTCCCGTTTACTTATCTTATGAAGCTATTTCCTATATCAGCCCTCTGATTTAACTTGCCATCCTGGTCTTTTTCTAATGTATTCTTTATTGTTGATCATTTTCTAATTGTTTAATCCACTTATAAATCTCCCATCTTTGGTAGCCTTAAGGGCACGGCCAAACAGATTGGTGCAAAGGACGATCTATTTAGGCATTGTTCACTGATTAAAAGGTTGCCAACATGGTGAGCTTACGCAGACGCAGACTCCTGGGACTCTGCTCTGGTAAACTGTAGTTGAAATGTACTTTATCTTGCACATAATTTAATTACTCCTATCGATATCAATGAGAAGGAACGTTTTCTATATCGCGTTATATAAAGTGTTTTCTATATCAATGAGTGTAATCAAGTTCTAAGTTATGATTGGATAATGTCATTCACGAAATTCGATGACCGTTTGTAGGGAAGAGTTCTTTTTTGACTCCACTTTCTAGATTTTTTGATAATGGAAATGCCCCTGAAAGTTCAACCCAGAATGAAAAATCAGTTATTGTGCATCCCATGCCCTCTGACTCCATCAACCACGTGCCTGGGGTAAGATTGCATTAATAATCAATTGACCAGGTGTAGTATTAAATGGTTTCCTGTTAATTTGCTTCTTGGTTGTGGCGGTATCAGTTGTTTGTATTACTATTTCCTTTTCCATTGTGTATGAACATGGCAGCTTGCTGATATTCATTTTACCTTTTTCCGCTTGGGCTAGGGATGCTTGCCTAAACAATGCCTCTTCACTTTATGTTAAGATTACTATAGCCTTTAGTTTTTTATCAGCATCCGAAATTTTGAGTGACCGGCATGCATATGATATATTATTGTGGATCTTGAATCATATTGCATTTCCCCTATCTCTCAAACACCTGCTAATCTTAATTTGGTCTTGTAATTTATCTTTTCCACCTGATGTGTTTTCGACGATAAAATAATTCTATGAGCAAGTCATTTCATCAATCATTGTCCAAATTAAGATAATAAAACATTTATCTCTTAAACATTTGCCTTATTTCTTTCCATATTTTAGGAGCACTTGGTGATATTTATTTAAGTAAACATGATAGAATGTGTTTGTTGATTCATCGTTGTTTCGCTATCTGTATTGACATATCAGGCGGTCACAATTGCATCTTTTTATGAGACCGGTCAATATTCATGGTTGGTTAATTAGTTATTGTTAAATGAACATTAAAGCCATCTGTTGGTAGCATGTGTGGTTAGTGAGCTAAAAGGTGGATCTATGAGAAAGCATAGGTGTATGTGCTGCTTGTTTTTTTTACTCCTTTAACGGAGCTGTTTGGGATCATTGAATAGAAAGAATTATTTCTTCACTCATAATTGATAGAAAATATGCAATTGGTAATGATAGTATCTTTTCTTGTGTTTTCAACTTGGCCATGCATGTGATCCTAAGGATTCCTTTGCAGTACAGAGAAACGAAAACGATATGATAAATTAATGAATTGTGGATGCTTGGTCAATCCATTGCATCATGGGGCACCCTTTCTTATTAGAGAAAACCTTGTTTACTAGGTCATGGTTCCCTTTTGAGATTTGAATTATAGGATAAATAGTCAGTTGTCAATTACAAATGATATTTAACAACTGTTTGCATTACAGAATTTGTTTTACTGTTTGTGACCCTTTTATGTTTTGGATTTCTAATCAATATTTTTTTAGTTTATTTAATTGGCATGCATGCAAACAGGGGTTCATAATGAATATATTAAGTGGTTCTGATTCAGATTCTCAAGTTCATGATAGATAAATACTAAGTGGCATGCAATGTTTAATTCTGGCCTTTACTTTAGAATTACGCTTAAATGTAACTACTTAATGCTCTCTCAGAAAAGCATCGCCAAGGTTAGCTGTGGATCACCAAACATTTCTGGTTCTGGAAAATCGAAAGAGCATCATAATCAACCTTTTCCGGGTTTGTATCTTTGGATCAAAATTGAAAAGTTTACTTGTCTATGACTTCTTTCTGGTTTATATCTTCTTGTTGGCTTCTTGCTGCTTAAATAAAGAAGCAGTTTCAGGAGGAGTCACCTTTTTTGTTAGAATAAAGATGAACATATATATCTCAGAGTTGAGTCAATGCCGTGCCATTTCCTTATTAAACATGTGATTACTCATTAGCGTCAATGTCTGATGCTATGAGCTGATTTATCATTTTACAGTTTGACTGATGCCTTTGTACAATGTATAATCTGTAGAGCAACCAATCAAACGAAGGAAGCGACACAGAAGGAAGCACGTGTCAAACCAAGAACCTTGCTTAATGAGGGGTGTATACTTCAAAAATATGAAATGGCAGGCCGCAATAAAAGTTGACAAGAAACAGATTCACTTGGGCACTGTTGGTTCACAAGAAGAAGCTGCCCGCTTATATGACAGGTATTAAGTTAGCTTTTATCTTTCTTGTAATGATTGCTACTACAACTTCTTCAGAAACTCTTTTCACTATATGTAATGCAAGTATTGCTTTTCAGTAGTCTAGTTTGATGTAAATGTATTGTTGTCTGATATGAACATGCAGTATTCATTTATTTTCATGTTTCTTCATGGTTATTAATGAATTTCATTGGAAGTGTTCATGCACATTGATAATAAATACAATGAAGTGATACTCGTATGCAAATTCCGCAAGAATATGGTATGGTATGTATGAAAAAGCGGTGAAGGTATATGCGATTAGCTTCTCTATATGAAGGATTGTTTAAGAGCTAAATTTTTATGGCATTTTTGTTTCCGTATTGTTTACCTTCTAAAATTTTTAACTGCCTTTTTTGTCATGGACTATAAGTAAATAATGCTGGTCTCTGCCAGTTCGTGATGTGCTAAGATGTGGTCCTAGCATTGATTTTTTGGTAATATAACTGTCCTTCATAGTTATGTTGATAGATAGATATTTTTTATATGTAGAGCCGCTTTCATGTGCGGAAGGGAGCCTAACTTCGAGCTTTCGGAGGAGGAAAAACAAGAGCTTCGGAAGTTCAAGTGGGAGGAGTTTTTGGCATATACTCGCCATTCAATTACCAATAAAAGTAAAATCCTATTGTGTATTGATGATTGTCTATCCTTGTTATCTCAGCTGTTGTAACATAAACATTCAATGGGTTTATTTTGAACGATGATTACAGAGTACAAGCGAAGGCATCGGAGTCAGACCGCAGAAGAGCTCTGAACCTGCAATAGAGGATGGTCGGTGACCGGGAACAACGAACAAGGAGTCAATAGCTTCTCAGCTTGAGTGGAGCTGAATAATCTGGGTCTATTGATTACACTCTAGTTGCAGAGTCTCCATTTTTGGGTGTATAAAAGTCCCCCTATTTGGGCAACATCTCAATGATAAATCTCCATTGTTATCACAGTGTTTAAATCCCAAATAAGTACTAAGTACTGGTTGGTTGCATCATCAGCCTGAACCATTGCTATTAGACTGATGAAAGGCATGCAAAAAGATAATTGCTGGAAAAATAACTTCTATTTCAGAAGAAGCATTAATCCTTTGCTTAGGTGGCCCTGTGTATCTTAACCATATTCGAATATAAGTAATGCATGCGTACCAAGTACTTCTCAACATTAGTAGATTCAACTGAATATTCCTTCAGTTTTTTTTCCATCAATTCTGCATAAGCACTAGCAAAGGCTAAATAACAGACAGCAACAACATAGTTTAAATTCAAGCAGTAATATCTAAGACAACATTGGGTCACACATAATATCACCTGTAAATCTTATTTTACAGTCTTAAAACCCTTAAACGATCAAACAAGCAAAAAAGCAAAACAAAAAGGGAACATTCTTTACTTTCTGCTGTGTTTGCTAATATTTATTTTGAGCATGTCTAGCTCTTTGTTACTGCCGGTATGTGATGTTTCCACCGACTTGAGCATCTGCGGTTTCTACATGACTGTCATGCAGAAGACGCGGTATTTTTCTAGGTCTTTCGATTGAATCTGATGGTTCCATCACATCTAAACACAGCCAGCTGAAATCTTCATTTTCAACAAAAAATGGATTCAAGAACTCATCTTCTATGTTGGTGATATATTGATCTTTCTTCCAATTAGAGCCATTAGTTGCCTCTGGTTGTTTTAATAGCTCATCAAACGATATTCCATCATCGTATGGAAAGTCCTGAAAACATATACGGAAACAGCTTACTTCTTTGTATCTTTATCATCATCTGCATAATCAAATGATTAATATAAACAGATTTTTACAATTGGAGTTAAATTGTCATCGGCAAGAGGCATCCCGAAGCTTGAAGGCACTTCGAATGGCTTAGATGCACTTCTTTCCATGGTGATGGTTTCATCATCACCATCAGTAAGAGCTGAATTGCTCAGTTCCTTTTCAAAGGTGTCATACATTTTTTGAAAACCATTATTGTCTTCAGGTCCGTTGCATTCCTTTAACATCTCTTTAAGGTGTAAAGTTTCCTGAGCCAGAGAAAATTGCATTCTTTTAGATAGTCAACCATCTATGATAAATGATTATGAAATTTAGCATCGGGCATCTTACTTTCGGAATCATATCCTCAACAATAGGATTTATCAAACTAGATAATAAGTGAGAGACTGCATCCTCAGCAACCATATTATGCTGATTGCTTCTTTCTCCGGCACAGATATCAACGCTACCGGATCGATCAGGAACACCATAACCTTCATTGTGCTGACCTGATTGACCAGCATCAGTGCTCGAAACATCAATCCTTCGCTTCAGTTTGCAAAGTTTGAAAGTTTTCTGTAACACATTAAAGCAAATATAAATGAAATATCAAACACCCTAAAGCTAAAAGCAAAATATTTGCAGCAGTTAAGCTTATGAATAAATTTCATTCAAATGAAACCACGACTTACATGATCAGTGTCGATGGAATTAGGGTCAGCCTTGAGTTCATACTCATGCGTAACCCAACAAGTCTTGATTTTGTTTCCATCATTACATTGACCTTCATAGTAAACCAAGGTCTTCTTGGTGCCAATCAACTCCCCTGTTTTAGGGTCTATAACTTCACGAGCATTGCCCGTAGGTTTCCAGTAACCGTGACGGGTTGTCCGGTTAATCCGTTTACTATTTCGGTACTTATATCTTGGTGAGTATATAAAATACCATAATCGGTCCCCAGCCTGCAGCTTCGATATCTCTGAAAATGCAAGCACATACACATATATTTCACCATATCGGGTATATGAAAAAAGTAACGACATGATCAACAAAGATTTAGTTTTTTTTTTTGGTATGATCCGTTTGGACTCAACTAGAGTTCATAAAAACTATATTTTTCCTTATATAGTATTAATGTCCAGAATTCAGCAGCAAAGAAAGAAGCTGTTACAGTAAATATGTGTAATATATATATAAACATATATATAATTTACCAGCTAGTTGCCGAGGCTCCCACTGGCAGATGTCGGGGACTTCATCAATAACTTGGACATCATAATCAGGGTCGGAGGTTTTGATCTGCAGAAACTCGATGAGTTCTTCATCAGTTGGGTGGAATCTGAAACCCTTAACTATGCTCATCTTATCTCACGAGATTTTCTAAAAAGAAAGCAGTAATATAAAGCTGAAGAAGGTGAAATGAAAAAAAGAGCGCTTAGGGAAGTTAGTGCCAAAATGATTAAACCTCATATATATATACACACACACACTCTCTCCTTGCTCGCTAAGTTATAGTACAAATATTCCAAGTGGATCCCACTGAACGTGTCTATCTTTTATTGTTGACAGTATAGTTACCAATAGTCTTCATCTTAGTTGCTACTTCGAGGGCAAGTTTGTGAAAACAATGATTTGAATATAGTTCAGTGATATCTTTTGTACCTTACTGTTAATAATATCAGGCTTAATATCAAAATAAGTGTTTAAACTATACCACTTTTCTCAAATAAATATCTAAACTATTTTTAAATTTATTCTGGTGCATAACATTACAAACGTTATCCATATAGGTACCCGGACTATCAATAGTGTCAATTTCTCCATTAAATGACACGTGTCACAACTTGTTAATTTTAAATTTTTTATTTAAAATTAAAAAGTTAAAATTATATATATATATTAAAAAGAAAATACAAATTTTGAATTAAACTCAAAACTTTGAAAACCTTCATTTCAACCCATAAACCCATGTTGGCTGCCGTCTTTTGCCATCAATGAAACTCCACCCGATCTCACCTCTCCCCGACGACAAAAACCCCTGTGAAATCGTGATCGATAGACGACGAATCAACGTTTTATACCCCATGAACCCTAGGATGAAAATTGTGATTCCACGCGATTCCGACGGCTAATCGATGGAAACTACGACGATGTATGAGTAGGAGGGTGGTAGGTACTATGTCGGTGGTAGTGGCCAAAAAGGGCGACTGCGGCGGAGAATTAAGGTTAAGATTTGAGATTTTATAGATGTTTTATAATACAATAAAAATTATTGTTTTTTTATAAATATCATAATATTTGTTTTATTTTTTAAAATAAATTTTAAAATCACCGATTATGACATGTGTTACTTAACAGGGGAAATTTACGCCGTTGACATCCTGGGCACCTAAACGGGTAACGTTAAGCACCTAGATGAGTCAAAAAATAGTTTAGGCACCTATTTGAGAAATGTGGTATAATTTGGGCACTTATTTTGGTATTAAACCATAATATTAGTCTTGCTAGTGAATATGATACTCTTTGCCGGAAGGAAAGTTACATTGCCATCATAAAATGTGCAGTGAATTCATCCAAAGCAAGGCAAAATAATAAATGAAAATTGATGCCAAATTGCCAATGCATCTTAAATGCATACAAACCCATTACAGAGCTCAAAGTGAGTGAATCTAAAAGGAGATAAAGAGTGAACATGTCATGTAAGATGACCATGTAAGGGAACGCTGTTCGACGGTACCGTTGCTCTACGAAAGTAGAGATACAAGAGAGACGAACTCCTGCGTTACCCGACCCTTGGATCTTGTGTTGATGACAAAGTGTTCAGGGTATTTTCTCAACAACATAAGCAGACCATACCATGGTTTCCCCTTGGATTCAGGACCAGGCCAGTCCTCGGATGTAAGATATCTTCGAACTCGGCTATGATGCCAGACATTACTAAACTGCTCAACCAACTGCAACAAGAAAGGCAAAGTAAGCAATCTTTGTAAAACATAAAGTCCCAAAATTACCAACACTGGGATAAACAAAATGAGAGAACGTAAAGCAGGAAATATAATCAGAACTCTTTAGCAAACATTAGCCAATGGACCACATGTTCTTCTCTATAGATCCGTTCAACTTTCGGGACATCCAACGCAAATACGTCTAGGAGATCATATAACCTCTAAATCATTGAGCCACTTTAAACAAAGGGAAGTTAGGAGAGTAAATAATTTGGGCAATTTAAAATCAATAAATCATGACAGAATAAATCTTGTTTCCCCCTCTAAATTGCAGAGGCAAAAGGAAACACACATGAGAAGAAAAATAAGTAGCACTATCAGTGGTGATTGTTGCCATTATCATTTCATCACAAAGGCTGTCTTCCTTTTTCTTTCCCCGATCAGTATAGATTGTATTCATGGCCTCTTCATAAAAATGACATCAATCATGCATGAAATGGCCTAACTTTTAAGTGCACTCCAACGCTGAAATTTCAGAGCAAAATATAGAAAGCCATTTCCATGCCAAAATCTTTAAAGCACATCAGTAAGGGGAGAATCAAAAGAAAAACACAAGGACTACAGTCAACTAGACAGGAGCGTCATCACCAAAAAGCAATAAAAAGTAAAAAGATGACGGGCCTAAAGAAATGGGATTAAAATAAGATTTAAATCACCCAAAGCTCGAACCTAACCTCAGTGTGGAGTTTCTCCATGGCCATCCATTCTCCAGGACCGCAAAGATCCGAAAGCACAGTAGCTACAGAAGAAACCACATCCTTTTCTTCCAACTGCATAAGTTGTTGATTATCTGATTCACGGTCAACTCTTGATCTTCTCTCCCCCTTCTTCTCTGCAGGATCTGCAGATATTACCATGCCAATGGAATGATATTTTTTATCCAAAGGAGGAACCTTTAGTTCCGAAGTTCAGGTAAAATATAGAGAGTAAATATTGACGAACTGAATGAGAACAGCATAAATGAATGAAAGTTCATGTACAAGGATGAAAAGCTGATCGTGTGTCAGAGTATATGACCAAAAAGAAAGAGAAAGGGCATCAGAAAACAATAGAACTGGTTGATGAAATCTTATAAATCATTTTTGGTGCGATAAAAGTCAAAAGACAGCTTTAGAAATGAAAGAGACAACATTGCATAGCTGATTTATCATGACTAATATACCTTAATCTCAGAGACCACATGGTAACCGAAAAACATACTTTCGCAGCTAAAATCTTGCTTATTTTCAGGTTGATAGGCAGGATGTCCTAATAGTATGATTCCATTTCAAAGATATAATCTTACTGACACCAATAATAAGCTAAATAACAAATAGTACAGTCAGATTAAAAGAAACAGCCAATAATAGTATGAGAAAGGTTAATGAGTAATGAGCATGCGAGTGGCAATAAAACATAACAAGAAGTGCCAGAAAACCAAATTCTATGACTGACCAATTACGGCAATTTGTAACATCTATAGAGTATTAAACCAGTATGAATCATTCTGCTTTCTCTTCTATGGAGGCACTGTTACTAGTATCATTAAAAGCTTGGTGTTCTGCAGACTATGCAATTCCTAAGGAGTATTACTAACGACCAAAGAAATAAAGATAACTCAAAGCCAGGACAACCCAATGAACTAGTGTGATTCTCCAAAACCAGATCAGAATTCAGAAGGTGCTGCAGGTAACCACTACTGATAATTTAAGGAATAATGAAATGGGATACTCATAGGGAAAATTAATGTCATAGATTAAACCCGGATATCAACAAAAATGAAGCTTTGAAACAAAAAGTCCATCTGGATAAAGGATTCGGGTTCACTCCAGAAACGAAATTTGACCGATGCAAATTAATTAACAATGCCAGTTTCTGATGGCCAGAAAAATCAAGAAGAATAACATTGGAAAGTATGAACCAATGAGCTAAATAGTTAAGGCAAGTAATAGCAGAACTCTATGTCAGAACATAAGTATCCTAAAACAACAAGCAAATCTGGTTCTGTATCATCAATAACTAAATATTCAGAAAACAATAAACTTTAAAAAACAATGGTTGAAGAATGGAAAGTTTTCTTCCTAGAGCTTCACAATGACAACTACCAGGAAATAATAAAAGACAAAATGTGATCAAGCAATCGCATAAATGATAATTTTTAAGGGAAAACCCAATAGTAAATTGTACAAACCTAATACTCCGGCCAACCCCACCTTCCCTCCGGATCCGGCCTCCGTCCTACTATACCAATCTTCCCTCCTAACCTTCTTCCCACCACTTCCAACATCTTCTTCCTCCCCGTAATCCTCTTCATAATACTCTCTTCCTCTGCCCTTCTTTGCTCCCGCCACGGACCCCACCGTCCTTCCCATTTCCGCACCGCCATGATGACCATAATGAGGTACACCTCCAGCTGCTGACCCTGCACCCGCCGTCTGGTAAATCGAAACATGGTGCCTAGGCGCAAGGGCTCCACCGAGAATACTCCTCACGGGGAGAAGAAAGTAAAACTGTTTGTCCCCGATTTGGAGGAGGTCTTGTGAATCGAGCTTGATGGGAGGGTTACCCGGAAGGTGGAGGACACCTTCTACGAGGCAGCCGTTTTTGCCGAGGACTTCGAGCGCGAAACGGCGTCGGGTGAAGTCGTAAAAGATACGGGCGTGGTGGCGGGAAATATTCATACCGCCTCCGAGGCTCGCTAAGTCGACGTCGACGGTGGATTTCTTGGAGTTGCGGCCGAGCATTATGGAGTAGGTTTGCATGTAGTATTCGAAGTCTTCCCCTTGTAGCTTGGCGAATCCCGCCTCCACGTCGCTCCCACCCGTCGTTCCCATCGTTCGATTGCGGATTCGATTGAATTATTGATCGGCTGAATGGCTTGCTCAAATAATTATATGGGTATCGGAATTTGCAGGAAGGTTTGCCCGCTCCGGTTCCAGTCTACCTTATAAGATTTACCAGATTTCATAATTAACCATTGTGTTTTTTCAATAATTCGGTGTTAACCATTGTGGGGTTAAAGAAAAATCCCAACTTTTGCTTCTCTAAACTAAAGCCCAAAGCCTAAAATATCCAACTTTGGTGTCTTTCTCTTTGGAAAAAGCCCAGTTTTGTTTTCTTTATTCTTTTGCTTTCTTCAAAATCAAATTGGAGCTCAAATAACTCAAGTTTCCTGTTCGAAACCAGTTGAAATACCTCTCTCTGTCTTGCTTTCCTGTTCGATTTTCTTCTCCTTCGGCTGCCGATTCAATTGAATCTTCCCCTCTCTTGTCAAAGGTAAGTTCTTTAATTACTCGATATATTCGTTACTCCATCTGATTGTTTAATTGCTTGAGGAAACATCAATCGTAAATTGAAACTTCCAAATGAACTTTTTAATGTGAATTTTGTCATAGGCTTCGGGTTCCTTTGTTGCAGAAAGCAAAATTGGACTTTGATTTTTTTTTTATTAGCTATCGCATGGCAGTTT